CCCTACACCCCCTCCCTATCTCTGTAACCTCCTCCAGCCCCTACACCTCCTCCCTATCTCAGCGCCAAGGGCGCACTGCTCTGTCGGAGGGTTGGCGCCGAGCAAGAGGGCAGGGAATGGGAGAGGGTGGGGAGTGTGAAGGTCGAACAACGTTAGTTTAGTTGAGGGTTAAAGTTACAACTAGACAGTCAGGGTATCGGCAAGATTCACACAGAGACATGAGTGCGGAGGGTGACATTAGAACTGTCCCAGCTGACAGTGTAGATTCCTCCCGGCTAGCGACGTCAGGCCAAGAACAGACAGTACCTTTTGAGGAAACAGTAATGACATAAGGTGCACAGAGACTGAAGTGTGGGAACTGCAAATGACTTGTTGTAATCTGTATAAAAACACAAAGCCTAGTGACTTTCACACACCAGCTTGTTATTGTCCCCTCTCTGATTGTACTTAAGAAACGATTGTTGGTCTGTTCCTCAGAATTCCTCTTCATCATTCGTAATGGTGACTCCCACAACATAGAGACATCAGTAGGCCATTCAGCCCCTCGGGCCTGTTCTGTCCTACAGTGGGATTCATAGCAGATCTGTGGCCTTACTCCACAAACCTGCCTCCGGCCCTCATCCCTTGATTACCTTCGCTCAACAATAAAACCTATCTCTCTCAGATTTACACTGAACAACTGATCCAGCTTCCACTTGTGTGTGTGTGTGGAAGAGATTTCCAAACCTCTCCCAACCCTTTGCGTGTCAAAGTGCTCCCTAACGTCTCTCCTGAATGCTCTGGCCCTCATTCTCAGACTCTGCTCCCTCGTTCTGGAACCTCCAAAAGGACAGAGTTTTATTCAAATGGAGAGAAACTGCAGAAAGCTGAAACATGACAGGACTTGAGCGGGATTTTGTGCACAAAACACAGAAAGCTCACACCCGGGGGGGGGCGCAGCAGGGAATCAGGAAGGGTAAGGGAATGTTGGTCCTTATTTCAGGGGAGTTGGAGTATAAGAGTGGGGAAGTTTTACTGTAACAGTACAAGGTGCTGGTGAGGCCACATCTGGAGCACAGTGAGCAGCTTTGGTTCCCCTTATTTAAGGAAAGATATTATTTCGTTGGAGGCAGTTCAGAGAAGGTTCACCAGGATGATCCCTGGAATGGGAGGGATTCTCTAATGAGCAAAGTTTAAACAGTTTGGGACTCTACTCACCAAACTTTAGAAGAATGAGAGGTGATCTCACTGAGACATGTGGGATTCTTAAGGGCCTTGACAGGGTAAATGCTGAGAGGGTGTTTCCCCTCATGGGAGGGTCTGGGACCAGGGGGCATAGGCTCAGAATAAAGAGGCACCAATTTCAGACTGAGGTGGGGAGGAATTCCTTCTCTAAGAGTCTTTGGAACTCCTTGCTGCAGGGAGCTGTGGGGGGGCAGAGTCCCTGTGTATATGGAAGGCTGGGATAGATTCTGGCTCAGTCGGGGAAAGGGCAGGAAAGTGGACGCGAGGAATGTGCGATCAGCCGCGATCCTATTGAATGGCAGAGCAGGATGGAGGGAGCATCCAACACGTTTCGACGCAATCACCTCTCATGATCTTCTCTGGAGGTCGGATGGGCAGAAGGGTCTCCTGCTCCTAATTCAGATGACCCCGCGTTTGCCTGCCACCTCTGATCTTCCCCCTCGGCCGACGTCCTCCGTGCATCTCAGGGCTAAACAAGGTGCCCCCGCCGCGCCTGCGCCCATCTCGAGCTGATCCCCGTGGCTCCGACCGGAGCAAAATTCCGGAACTCCAGCGGAAACCCTCCTGCCCTCGAAAGGGAATTTGGACCAGGAGCAGCAGGCAGAAATTCACAGCCACTTCAGAAGGATCTGGTGCTTCTATCGAGCGTTAAGGAAGGAAAATGTCCTACCGTGCCTCACCAAGGGAAGCCTGATACAGAGCCTGCAGACTGGAAGTACAGTAGATGCTGGAAGCCCAGAGTCTGTAGCTGTGAGGCTGGGAAGGCACAGCAGGTCAGATGGCATCAGAGGAGCAGGGAAAGTCAACGTTTCGAGCCGAAACCCTCCATCAGGACTGAGGGGGAAGGGGACCCCAGAAATAAATAGAGGGAGGAGGGTTGTGTGGGGTTGGAGGAAGGGCAGGAGAGATGGTGATAGTTGGATGCAGATCAGGGGGCTCGTCCATGGGAAGGGTGGAAGATAGGAGAGTGGGAAAATGGGACAGGGCAGGTGTGGTCAGGGAGTCAAGGTGGGGTGGGAAGGGCTGGACATGGGTTAAGGTTGGGGGGGTGGAGGGATTTTGAAGCTGGTGAAGTCAATATCGAGGCCATTGGGCTGTAAGCTCCCAAGGGGTGAAATATGAGGCGTTGTCCCTCCGATTTACTGTGCAGTGGAGGAGACCAAGGATGGACATGTCGCCATGGGACAGCGGGAGGAGGAGTGAAAGTGGATGGCAACTGGAAAGTCAGATTTGTCGGTGTGTGCAGAGCGTAGGTGCTCTGCGAACCAGTCTGAGGAGACCACATCGGGAGCAACAGATACAGTAGATGAGGTTAGATGAGGTGCAAGTGAATCTCTGCTGGATTTGGAAGGATTGTTTTGGGGCCTTGGATGGAGGTGTGAGGGGAGATGCAGGGGCAGGTGTAGCATCTCCTGCGGTTGCAGGGAAAGGTACCGGGGGTGGTGGAGGGGTTGGTGGGGAGTGCGGAGCTGACGCGGACTGAACGGTCCCTGCGGAAAGCGGATAGGGGTGGGGAGGGAAATATCTTTATGGCGGTGGGGTCAGATGGTAGGTGGCGGAAACGTTGGACGATGGTGCGTTGTATACGGAGTTTGGTGGGGCGGTAGCTGAGGACAAAGGCGCCTCTGTCCTTATTGTTGTCAGGGGGAGAGGGTTTGAGGGCAGAAGCACGTGGGAAATTGGGGGAGATGCGTTTGAGGGGCTTCCTCATAACAGAGGAGGGGAAACGACGGTCCCGAAAGTGGGAAGATATCTGGAGTGGAACGCCTCACCCTGGGAGCAGATGGGGTGGAGGCGGAGGAACTGGAATGGAATTTTTGCAGGAGGGTGGGTGAGAGGAGGTGCATTCGAGGTAGTTTTGGGAGTCCATGGGATTGAAACGGATGTCAGTGGTGAGGTGGGGCGTGGGTCAATGCCAGGATTAACATTCAGTAAAATATGAATAGGAAGGGTTTAGAGGGATACGGGCCAAATGCTGGCAAATGGGACCAGAATAATTTAGGATGCCAGGGTCGGCACGGACGGGTTGGGCCGAAGGGCCTGTTTCCACTCCGTACATCTCTATGACTCTATGACTCCGAGGGAAGTAGCCGCCATTTACCCCATCCTTCTTGTGGCAGCCGTTCTGCCCCTTCGCACCCTACCGAGGGACCGTCTCCTCCGTAGCCCCCAAGCGCTGTGCGAGTTGAACCCGTCCCTTGCTGCCCCTCAGCCCAGAGGGCGGGCGTGCCAGCCCAGTGGGTGTGGAGTCACGCGGAGGCCAGACTGGACCAAGCAGGCAAGGCATCAGGCTTCACCCACTGGCAAACTATTGCACTTTGGCAGAACAGACAAGGGCAGGACTTGCTCAATTAATGGTGGGGCCTTGGGTGGCGCTGTACAGCAGAGAGACCGAGGGCTTCGGGGCGCTATACAAATGCACGCTGGTCACCCAGGGGTGGGTCTTTAGCCGGGGAGGGGTGGGGGAGGCGGGGCGGGTTTCCACCGACATCACTTTCTGGATCCTTCTTTTGTTGAACTTCAGGCCCCCCACCTCACAGCAGGGAGGCCACTCTGCCCATTTTTGAGATTGACCTTCCGATCTGATTTTGTTCCTCGGGGCTCAACCCGCCCACATTTCCCCCCCCCCCCCCTTAATCTTCAGGATGTGGCAGCATCTGATTCGCCTTGAGATGAATTGCAGCGGGGTTGGGGAGATGTTGTTAAAATTGTCCATTTCTCTTGAACCTTCAAACAGAAGGCAAGCCATTGGCTTCCTGTGATCTGCCCCTCCCTCGCACACTCGTATCAGGACAGAATGACTCACTAACTCGGGCAGGAAAAGAGTGAGTTATAACCGCAGGGAGAGGTGGCGCTGAGAGACGCGCACACGCAGAGAGAGACAGGGAACAGCCCCAGGACACAGGGCACACAGATTAACAGCTCACTCCTCTGATTCAGCCCACTTGCGAAGAGTTATTTCACAGTTACTGAAGTAAGTGTAATCTCCAGATCACGTCCGGGAGTCTCTCAGTCTCCGCTTTGAGAGCACGTTAATGCTGTTTAACTGCATTGCACTGTCCTCCCGAATTGTCCTGTGTGTGTGAGTGTGTGTGTGTGCGTGTGTGTGCGTCTGGGTGTGTGTGTGTCTGTATGTGTCTGTGTCTGTGTGTGTGTGTGTGTAGTGTGTGTGTGTGTGTGTGAGTGTGTGCATGTCTGGGTGTGTGTGTGTGTCTGTGTGTGTATGTGTATGTCTGGGTGTGTGTGTGTCTGTGTTTGTGTGTCTGTGTGTGTCTGTGTGTGTGTGTCTGTGTGTGTCTGTGTGTGCAGTGTGTGTGTCTGTGTATGTGTGTGTGTGTGCAGTATGTGTGTGTCTGTGTGTGTGTATGTGTCTGTGTCTGTGTGTGTGTGTCTGTGTGTGTGTGTGCCTGGGTGTGAGTGAATCAGGAATGTAGGGAGCCCTATCTGTGCACTGTTTTAAGCGTGGCTGCATAACTTTTAAGTTAACACACAGTTCAACTCCAAACTCAGTCACAGCGAGGGGATGGGACAGTTGGCTTTTCTGCAGTTTCTCAGTTTGTTGCGTTAATACTACCCAGACACACACACACACACACACACACACACACACACACACACACAACTGAGTGACTTGCCCAACATCAAAAGCACAGTGATTTATTTTATATCAGCTGTAGATTTTCAGCGGCTAACAGCCCCCAGTAAAATACTGATGGAGCAAATTCAACATCTGCGTGTAAAAGGCAATGCGAACGTGAGGGCGAGGCAGCGAGAGAGGGAAGGGGTTTAAATCAAACTGGGGTTGGATGGGGAAGTAAACACTGTATTCCCCTGCGATGCCCACATCTCCCTAAAGGCATGGGCGCTGCACGCTCCCTTCTTCAAGCACGTTGCTGGGAATGGAGGGTTTATGAGGAGAGGCTGGATAGGCTGGGACATTTTTCCCTGGAGCGCAGGAGGCTTAGAGGCGACATTATAGAGGTTTATAAAATCAGGAGGGGCACAGATAAGAGCAGGTGTCTTCTCCCTAGGGCCATGAAGAAATAGGCTTTCCCTAATTCAAGGCTAGGGCTGGGAGCATATTTTTAAGGTGAGAGGAGAAAGATTTAAAAAGGACATTGGGGGGCAATTTTTTTTTACACAGAGGGTGGTTCGCGTGTGGAATGAACTGCCAGAGGAAGTGGTGGATGTGGGTACAGTTACAACGTTCAAAAGACGTTTGGATAAGTACATGACTAGGGAAAGGTTTGGAGGGATATGGGCCAGGAGCAGGCAGGTGGGGCTAGGCACGGACTGGATGGACCGAAGGGTCTGTTTCTGGGCTGTGTGACTCCGTGACATCCCGTGTAACTGCGGAAGAGGGGCAGGCAGTTGGGACGGAGGTGACCCCCCCCAACCCCCCAACTCCCAACTCCCTCCCCTCCACACCCTGGGCAGCCGGAATTTAATATCCATTAAAGATGGTTTTCAGACAGATTGCAGTCCATTGCCAGAGAGGGTAGTGGAGTCGGCCTCATTAGGGGCATTTAAGCGGCTATTAGATAGGCATATGGATGATAGTATAAGGTAGGGGTGGAGGTTAGATAGACCTTAGGTTTCGGGTAAAAGTTCGGCACAACATTGAGGGCCGAAGGGCCTGTACTGTGCTGTACAGTTCTATGTTGTATGTAACTGGGCTATGCCAGTGATCACAATGACCGACTCTGATTTCAACATTGGCAAGTTTGGACTACAGTCCTAGTCTACATTAGGTGTGGTGGTTTGATCAGCCATGATCCTGGGGGGATGGTGCAGCAGGGCTCGAGGGGCCAAATGGCCGGGTCCTGTCCCTTTATCTTGCGCCGGGGCGCTATCAATTTGTGCAGAAATAAAGCCGGTCCTTTCGCAGATATCTTTCAACCAACCCATTCAGATGTCCATGACAATCTCATGGTACTATCGCTGGACTGTTAATCCCAAGACAGAGGTGATTGATGTTCTGGGGACCTGGGTTCGAATCCCACCAGGGCTGATGGTAGAATTTTAATTCAATAAAATATCTGGAATTAAGAGTCTAACGATGACCGTGAATCTATTGTCGATTGTCGGGAAAAACCTATGATTCCTTTAGGGAAGGAAACTGCCATCCTTACCTGGTCTGGGCCTACATGTGACTCCAGACCAACAGCCCATGTGGTTGGCTCTTAACTGCCCACATCCCATGAGTGAATAAAATCTAAACAAAAAACACCTCTGGAGCGGGTGAGACTGGAGATAGGGGCGCTACCACTGCAAAACAAGACGTCTTTGCTTGTCCCTTTATAAATTATATCCTGTATTCTCATGCAACTACACAGAGCCATGACAGTGCATGGCAATCTAATTCTAACGAGGAAGCATTTCGAAATGCCAGTAATACTTAGGAAGTGGATAATAAACGTTAACGCTCCGAAAGATAGCGCAAGCACAGAGACCTGATGGTGAATGTATGTAAATCCTTGAGAGCACGGTGAACAAACTGCAGGCAGGTTATTATAAAAGGTCCCAGGCTCACACATAAAAATGCAGCGAGTGTATTTTCGCTCCCCCCCCCCCACCTGCAGTGTGGGAACAGCGCATTCAGCCCATCAAATCCACACCTACCCTCTGAAGACCCACCCAATCCCTGCATTTCCCATGGTTGGCCCACCCTAACCTGCACATCCCTGGACACTA